GAGGCCCTGGACATGGCCCTCTCCCCTTGTAAGGGAGGGGAGGACAACGCACCACAGCTGGGGACCTTCCTGGTCTGCAGCTCCTCATACCAGCCCCATGGAGGAGGCCAAAGCCTTCTCACTCAGGTGGAGCAAGAAAACCTCTGCCCTTCTTCACTGGCCCAGGGCACCAGCAGCCCTTCCCAGAAGGCACCCAGGCCAGCCATAAGTCTGTGGGATATACAGTTACTCACAAACAGAAGTGTAACTGCAGCAGCCAACAGCTCTGGACCAGCTACGGCAGCCTGCCCGCTTGAGGACCAGCCAGCTACAGAGTATGCACCGTCACGATACAGTCCCTATCACATCAGTCTCTCAGGACACATCCACTGCTGTTCCTCCACACCGTGCTGCACGCACCTAGCCTATGTTGCTCAGGGCTGGGCTCAATCCTAAGACTCTGCCTCCTGCTGGTGTGCGTGCAGGTGCCATCTCACCCTCGCAGCCCGCTGCAGCAGCTGGAGCACCTCACTGATGAGGCTGTGAGTACAAGGAAACGGGGCAGAGGAAATGGAGCTTCCCCCAGACCTGTGCTGCGGCTCCGCGCCCTCGATGGAAAAAGGGGTCAGCTCTGGCATGATGCTCTTGGCAGCTGTGACTGGAAAACGGTCATAGACACTGCAACCCCCGAGCCTGTCACAGAGTTGCTGCCCCATTAACCTGCATACAGGCCCTACCTCAAGGGGGACCGGTTCTACCGGGCAGCGAGCGGCTCTGCTCACATTATGGTTACCTCCCTTGCTTTCCTCCAGATGTGAACGGCACGCTCCGCAGACCTCAGCCTACCCCAGTCCTTATGCTCAGCTGAAGCCTTGGTTTCAAACAGCTGCTTCCAAGGACCTTCCTTCCCTGCTCCCCATGCTTCAGGTGTATGTTACCAGGACAATGCATACAGCAAGGGGAAAACATGCTGCAAAACGTGTGAGGAGCAGGGCTGGTCCTTGAGGAAGCTGAGGTCTGGATGCAGTGTTTTAAGCAAAGTAAAGGCCAGAGAGAAAAGGAAGCACTCACAGCAAATATAGTTCTGCAGCTTAGCAGCACACTTCCTACTTATGGGAAAGGAGAGACTTCTTCTGAAAAGACTTCTCCTGTGGCAACCCGCAGGGAAAAGGGGACTTCTCCAGCAACAACCACCTCCTGCCCCAAGCACACTTCTGATGACCTGATTGTCCCCAAAGAGGCTTCGGTACCCTCTTGGGAAGGTCTGCCAGCCCGAGAAGCATGCTGCAGCAAGAGGAAGGGCCTGGTTCTAGTATTAGAAACCCTCCCCTGCATAGCATCAGGGTGGGCTGGAAAGGAGGGGCACCAGGCCTATCCTGTGGAGGGAGAAGAGCCAGGGAAAACTAGGGAGGATAAAGCACCATAGGTCTTGGTGAGATGCTCCATTTTGCTCTGGTTGCAAGTGCTGGAATTGGCTGCATGAGACTTCAGGCAAGACTGTTATCTATAGAGATGCACTTAATACTACATGCATTGCCACCAGTTTCCAGCAAAGATAGCACTGGGAGCTGTCTTGCCTGGCTCTGCAGAAGGATCCTGGCTCCTTCCTTACATCTGCACAACAATGGCACTTAAGAAAGTTCCCTGGGAGCAGGAGCTGCACGTGATCACGCAGGCTGTGCTGTCCCAGGAGAGGGACATGGGCAAAGGTGCCTGGCTTGTTCTCTCCTGCTTGTAGGCCCTAGGGTAGGGGAGCGCAGCTCTGCCTGCACTGGGATGCTAATATCAGCTGAGGTTCCTGCTCATCAAGAGACCCAGGGCACAGTTAGTGGAAAGCTGTTGCAAGGTGAGGGTGGGGGGAATTAGCCACAGGCATCCAAGCCCTTTACTGACCTCGAGCATAGCTTCCCACTGCAGCACACACACTGTAGGCTCCCAAGGAGGGAGTAACAGAGCAGGACATTGAATCAGGTCCCACCCAAGCCCTGGAGCCTTCCCCTTCTGCACATTTAATGCTGACTTCCTCTAAACAGTAAGGACGAGGCAGAAATACTCGCCAAAAGGCATTTTAGGCTCTTATTCAGCAATACTAAATGCCATTCCCCCTTCTACAAACAGCAGGAGGGAGGGAGGAGCAGAGGTCCCCCTATTTCCCTCATCCTCAAGGGAAACGTGCTCTGCACCAGAAGCCTCTAATGTTCCTAGCATGACTAGCCTGTTCACGCTGCCCCAAATCCCTATCCACACGTCGAGAATAGGGCCACAGGCCAGGCCAACAGGCCTAGAACATGCCCCATGAATCAAACTATATATGCCAGCAGCAACAGGCATTAGACACCTCCGGGCCTCCTGCTCAGAGCATCAAACACCACTAGCGTTGCCATTGACCCTTCCAAGCAGAAGCTGCTAAAACGTATTCTGCAGGGCACTTGCTGTTTGCTGAGCCTTTGAGCGAGGCATGCTAAGGGACACCGTAACTGGGGTGGACAGAAGGGAACAAATGCTGCGATGCAGCCTCCAGCTCTAGGTCCTGCCTTCTGAGCAGCCCTGCAGAAACATAGCCGTGGGAACTGCCCCTTTCAAGGTGCCTGTGTGCTCCCCTGAGAGGGCAGGGGAACAGGTCTTGGCAGACCGAGCAGAGCAGGAGCTTTCTCCTCCCTCCTCGCCTTCGTCCTTCATGTGCAGGTGAAGCTCAGTCAGCCAGTTTTCCTCTTTCCTGCCCACAGGAAGGTGGGAACAAGCACCCGCTCTGAAGCCAAGCAAGTCTCCAAGGTCCCATACACGTGCTGAAACGCTACGCAGCTCTATAAAAGGAAAGAAAAGGGAGGTGGGGGGGAGGGATGGGAAAGCCCGGATGAAATTCCTTGGCCCTTGCAGTCTCAGACACAGTTGGGAAGAGCTGGGAGAGAGGAAGTTCATCAAGATGTTCCTAGAGTCATTTCGATTCTGGGCAGGGGGGCTGACATCAGGCAGAGACCAGACAGGCTCTTACAGGGCAGCTGACAATGAGCCACTTGTTGCGGAGACTGCCCACCCCATGCTGAACTCCACCGCAGCAGAGCACAGTCTGGGCACGCAATAAAAATAGCAATCTAGGTCCTCCCAAATGGAGCATTTTCCCATTCTCCTTGCCAGCTCATCCTGGAGTCTCTGCCCCTCACACCCAATATTTACATCCTCTGCCAAACCTCTGGCAAGAGAGGGAGAAAACAAAAAGCAGGAGGGAGGAGGGGAAAAACCCTCAGCCGAGACTCAGGCAGAAATAATGCAGAAGCTGCCCAGAGCTCTGTTACACGTACAGAGGCATTGACACAGGCAAGTGTCTAGCTGTGTTCCTCCAGCCACACCACTGATGTCAGTCAGACGTGAGAAGGTGGCCTGAGAAATGCTTGCAGAAAAATATAAATCAATAAAGCATATGCCTGCAAGTGCAGCCAGAAAGACGCAAGCAGACAAGCTATGTTCATTTATTTTCTCATCAGTAAACTTTAACAAAAACATCTGTAATTAGAACAACAAGATCGTGCCCTCTTAGAACCTTATGTGTTTAGTGAAATGTGACATTCTCATGACAGGCTGGGGGAGACGGAGACAGCTAGATACCAGCAAGACTGTGGGTTAAAATACTGTAGATTTCAAGATTCAAGAAAACCAAAACTTGAGAGACCTTTAGGACATGATGCTCAGGGAGATGAAGCGCAGTTCAGTTACCTGCCCCAGTGGGTGCCGGGAGCATAGGCTATACCTTGGAAATCTGCTTCCTCTCACGCTCTGGCATCCACGAGGTCTCCCCAGTGCCATGGGTGTTCCACGCTGGTGACACTACGCACCTCCTGTTGCGTTCAGCCAAGAAGTTCGTGCCTGAGCCCCTGACTGCCAGGGCAGTGCAGCTCTGCCTGCATTAGAGAGCCAGGGACTCTCTTGGGAGCAGGGTTTCAGCTCTTCCAGAGACCTGTAAAGAAAAGCCTCTGCTCCCGAGATACGCTCTACCTGCCTGTCAAAGCACTAGGCAGCACACAATCCCCGAAAAGCACAAATATGCTCGATCAACACAGCTTCCCCAGTCCAACACTGCTCAGATTCACACAGAAGACCCTGTGGGCTTGCAACACAGCAGCTGCCCATCCTATTCCTTCTGCATATCAGGCTTGGCGGTGGACTACATGCTCCTGCAGTGGTCCAGCACGCACCAACACACCGAAGCTCAGCCCTCCACCAGCTAACAATGCCATCACACAACTCTCTCCCTCTCTCCAGCTGGCTACAAACACTGAGCCTTGGGCCACCTAACCAACTACACCGTTGCCAAAATGCAGCAGCTGGCACGTAGGGTTGAGGGTGCCTTTCACTTGCCAACCTGCACCATCTAGTTCAGCAGAGCTCTGTACAGTGCTAACTGCTTGAGCCAAGAACAGTCCAAGGAAAGATCAGTCCAGCACTCTCAGAACCTGGTGAAAAGCCTTACAAATGATGGGAAGGAGAAGGCTTACGAATTAGCACAAAGCCTCTCACACAGTACAGCAGTGAAGGAAAGGAGCAAATAGCATTCTAGCTGCAGGCAGAGAAGTGGAAAGGCTGCCCTGTGCCATACCTCAAATCTGGCACAGAGATTTTGGGCAGCTGAAGGCCTGAGAAGTGCTGACATGCTCAGTGCAGTGAGGAGGAACACAGTCTGCAGACCAACCGAAAAAACAAGAAGAAAAAACAGGTGCTACTATAGTGCATTTTAAGCACACCTGGACAAAGCACTGAAGAACATTCAAGAGAGATTAGTTCTGTACTGTCAGGAAGGAGAAGGGCCCAGCAAAGCCCCACACCTCTGTCTCTTCTCCACTCCTCCAGCCTACATACAAACTTCCCTGCATCCTTCATCTCTTGTATAAGCCAGTCAAGTAGCCTCTTTTGGCAGACACTGGGCTTCCACAGCTTTGATATGGCAGGCTCAACTTCTTCAAAACAAAAATTAAATGCATCCTTGTCCTGGGTCCAAAGTCCTTCCAGTTGGCTTTGCATCAGGCCTCGGACATCTATTAGCAAAGGGCATCCCACCTTTTTGGCATATCAGTTCCCACCATCAGCACCAGTGTTGGCAGTTACTGTAACTGCCATGGCCAGCTCCTGGCTCTGTGCATTACTTTGCGATGGTTTGCATATTGCTAGTGGTATACGTCCTGCTGCTTAGGAACCCTCGGTCCTGCTCACAGCACAGCTGTAACAGCTGTAAGCAAAGCCAACCATGCAAGTGACTCATCTGCACTGGGAGGGTGCCTGGCAGGGATGGAAATAGATTGCAACAGCAGGGAGCATTTGGCTCTGCAATGAACTTGGGTTTGATTTTCTCCTAAAGGCAACTGAGATCTATAGAACTGACACTTCATCACCAAAGTGAGAAGGAAGCAAGATATCCCAATGCAAAAAGGATAGGGAAGGTCATCCTTGTAATTTGTCCTGAACCTACTGGAAGGTGTTCCTGAAGGGACACAGACGTTTCCGAGACCCCTGCTTACTTCCTTGGGCTCAGTACTGGAATGCTCCTTTGAAATAAAGGCATGACCAGGGATATCTGAAGAACTCCTTCCTCTGGAAAAAAAAAAAAAGAAAAAAAGAAAAAAAAATCACTCTAAGCTAGGGAATCACAGCCTCAGAGAGATCTTCAAGTTTCAGGTGAAACCAAGCCATTTCATTTCTACAACTTCATCCTGATAGTCCTCACCAGATAAGACTACTTAATCCTTCTCTTTCCTTGGAGCCTCTTTTCTCAGCCATGATTTTCAATATGGAGAGGAGATTTTGGATAATTTTCATCAGGATTAGGAGAGCTTTTAATTTCATGACTTTCTGGCCCTTTCAAGATGTCCTGATCACCCACGATAGCCACCTACAAAACCTTGCCTTTGAACATCAGCAAAACCCTTTATACTGCCTTCGCCCACTGGAAACCATTGTCTCACCAGGCAGAATGGATTTAGCCCCAGACTACTATATCTTGTTGATTCCTTTTTGCAGGAACTCCCTCCAATCTGTCAGTAGCACTATCTAGTCACGCGGTGGCCTGAACATCATGCACCACGCCAAGGAAGGCTGCACCAGCACTGTACCATGGCTTGAAACCCTGGCACGCCAGTTTGTGCTCCTCTATCACCTCACAGCTGACCAATCTGCCATTAGCCTAACGGCCCTTCTTCATTCTCTGCGGCTCTGTGTTTCCCTTGCGTCACATCTTGCTGCCCTCCTACTCAAGTTTCCACATCCCTTTGGATTTGGTACTCCTGGGCGTTCACAACAACAGCCGGTTTAGTAGCCCTGGGCAAAGGGTGGATGCCCCTGCTTAGTCACCAGGAAAGCGCTGGTGTCCCTCACATCTCCCAGGGAGGAGATATGGCACAGCAGCACTCATGCAATGCCATGCTGTGGCTTTGCTGCTAGGAAGGTAGGCCTGGATAACAAAACAGGCCTTGTAGTCACCATTCAGCCACAATGAACCAAGACAGATTTGGCATTGCTAGACCACTTATGAGAGGTCAGGGCTGTCCCCATCCCAGCTGCCCTCATCTTGTTTGCCTCATGGCAAGCACTAGAGTCTTGAATCTACCTTGACGCTCCCAAGGTCCCATCCACATGTCCCATCCTGTCCGCAGCAAGGGCCTGTCTCTTCCTACACCATCAAGACAAAGCCCAAACTATCCACGATTTTTCCACGTAGGATCTGTCAGTCAGCTCTCAGTCTGCACAGCAGTGTCACAGCCAACCTGATTTGCATTAAGTTTTGAGTGTTAGATTTCATGAGTCACCAAATCAAACACTTTAGTTCCAAATATACCTATCTGTCACTTTCCCTTCAAGCTCCCAGGCTGCAAATCTATCAGAATGCAATCAAGTTTGTCTGCCAGCCTGTACTTTATAGCTTATAAACAAATACCGCTTACTGCTTGGCTTCCCTTGCATGCTGTAAGCATACACTGATATTTATCTTTCATTTGCTATATCACTTAAAGTTTAGTGCTGAGACTAATGAGGCACTGGACTTCACATTGCAGATTCTGCAGAGCAGTGGCCACCTCACAACCAAGCCCTAGTTGGGAACTCTTCAGTGCTCTGGTTATACAAATAAGTCCCAGAAAATAGGGCCTCCTCATCTATCATCCAACACCCTAGCAGCAGCACTTCTACCCGTTCTTGATAGACGTTTGCCAACCCCACGGATGGAGACTCCATCATCTCCCAGCATCAGTGGTTTTCAGCTTCCGGTTTATGGATCCCAGTAGCTTATGGGCTGCTCCTCAAGAGCTTGCCTTCTTAGTTCTCTCTTGCATGCTTATTATATGTGCTTATATTATTTGCACAAGGGTCTACCCCAGGTTGGCGCTCTCATACTTCATTCATTCATTGAGAGTGACTATTTATACAGGATCTTTACTATACAAATGCCACTTTAGCTTTTGAGTACTGTAAAGAACTGTTCAGGTGCATCACATCTGCCTTGGCTGAAATACGAACCAATCCTCCCTGATGACCTTTAATTGCTCTGAATTTTTCATGTTCTTCTCAATTTCTTAAGTGACCAAATGCCATCTTGTTAGTTTTATGCAGACACACATTTTAAAGAGCTTTGCACCTCTCCCAGCTTTCATCCCTTTTCCCCTTGTTTAGCAGCAAGCTAATCTCATTTTAGAGCTTCTTGTCCATCCCCAATCTTAATCCTCTTCTGCATGCAGGAGTATTAACATATTTGCCTTCCCTCAAGCTCCATCTCTGTCCCCTAGCAGCCTTCACAGTCTGGGTATTCTCATCTCCACCCAGCTTTTCTTCTCGAACGCAGAATCCTGCTCACACAACCAGGTTTTGAGTTAGTCTCAAGGTCACATTGACTGTTTCCTCCTCCTCACGTCTACATGACACGAATCTTTACCTTCTTGCAGCCCAGCCCTCAAATACACTGGGCAGGACTATAAGCCCTTACCTACACAGTGTGATCAGCACTACCCACCAAGGAAATCCTTGGTGATGCAAGTCACCGAGCAGTGGCAGGGAACCCCTCTCAGAGCTGTCAAAGCCACCTCTTGGGGCTCCACAGCTGGTTCCTCTGCAGGGGCTGATGAGATATCCTATTGCACCAGTCCTGGGAGCATCCCCACTCCTCACTCTGCAGGGTGCAAGTGGCTCAGACAGGTCAGTGGGGATAAGCTTCCTTTTTGCCCTGTCCTCCTGCTCTAAGCATGACAACACACAGTGCAGGGCTGAGGAAGCATCTCCTGGATGGTACTGCAGAAAAGCTTCATTACCACGTTTTTAGCAGCTGTTCCACAGAGACTCATAAAAATTGAAACCCCACATTAGTTCAAGAAACATGGCAAAAGAGGCACGTAGGCTGCTTACAGATCATCATCCCTGGAAATGACGCTTGGCAGTGGAGAGAAAAACCCTCCTGTACATTAGGAGGCGAGGAAGTTTGCCACTAGAAGGGAAAGGCTCCCTGTTCACACAGAGGTCAGCACTCCTGCCTCGTACAATCCACCAGCAGAAAACACATGGAAAGGAGAAAGAGGAAGTCAGGAGGGAAATTGCTTCCCCTGTGGGCTCTGGGATGCAGCTGAATGCAGGGGCAAGCAGTCAGGACACTGCATGACCTGCCGCAGGAGCTACTTCTCCAAGTTGGTGAGAGCAGCTACTCCAAACTCTGATGCCTGCACCCTTCCCATAATCAACAGGCCTTTCTAAGGTCCTTAGATATAGACTAGCAGTCTGCAGCTCCAAGTATTTGCAGTTGGCAGGCAGGGGATATTCACACCTTTTCCTCACATTCCTTACCGGGCTTGTAGAGCAGTGTTTGCCTTGCAGTTAGTCTACAAAGTACCCAGGCACAGGCAAGAAACAGAGAAAAGGTCAACATAATCACGGCTTTGCAGTACACGGAGTCCAGCTCCCTTGATGACTCCTGAGAGGAGGCTCAGCAGCCTAAGCAGGAGGAGGAAAGAAGTCAGTTGTTTCTGAAGGGCAGCCGACATCAGCAAAGGGCTCTCACAGCCAGAGGTCAGGATGCAGCCAAAAAGCCAGGACAGCTGCAGAGGAGCATCTACTAACTGGCACCCTGCAGCAACTGAGGAAAGAGTAACAGGAGCCAGAGCTCCAGCAGCAACAGCACTGCCGAACCTGCAGCAGAGCACAAGGGCAGACACAACCCTCTAGTACAACCAAGAACAGGAGGACAACCTCGGGTGCAAGGATGTCCAAGCTGGGGTACTGCAGTGCTGGAAAACACGTGACTTTAGAGCATACCATTTCCCTCACGCACTCCACCCCAGCAGCTACTCCACTCTAACAGCAAAGATGGAGAGGGAGAGAAGTTGCACAGCCACAGGTCTGGGCCACAAGAGAACAAGTTTGAGCTCCACCAGGAACTGAATCAATAACAAAGGTCATGGCTGAGCAGGAGGGACATCAAATAGCCTTGAAACTGACCCTGTCCCCAAGCCTTCATCCACACTGCTACAGACAGAACTGGGGACCCTGCGTGGCGTACCAGTGCCTGGAGATGCGCCCTCCCTTTTCTCTAGGCTGTTTGTCCTGACAATGCCCGATGGAGCTACAGACAGAGAATTCCTCCCCAATATCTTTCACCTGCTGGGAAGACTGAGGCTAGAATATCATTATTACTATTTTAGAAGCTTTCAGCATAGATCTGCCAAGGCAGGGGTCTATACCAGGCATTACTCGCATGCACTAGGCTGGGGACTTTGGGCCCTGCGCCAGCCACCAGCACTTGAGAGATGCTGACTGAGCTGTTCTTTTCAATGGTCTCCCTCCACCCTGCGGCACTTGGCAAGAGGAGCTGGGCCCGGCTTGGGAACGCAAGGAACAAAGCGTCGGTCTGGCTCTAGGCACAAAGGTGACAGCGCTCAGCCGAGACTAGGAACACAGAAGTGGTACTTCAAGGCGAGCAGCCTGGCTCCCAGATCTGCAGGTGAAGGTGTGCGAGATAAAGTGGCTGCTCAGACTTGAAGGAAGGCACTGAATTTTAGGCAAGACACAGCAGTACACCTTTCAGGTCAGCTGGGCTCCCACCTCAGTGTTAGGATAAACAAAGTGCTTTAATTGGGCAAAGCCGCTCTGAGTCGCTGTGCTTATCTGCGGAGCACAGCTTCACAAAAGCAAACATCAAACCCATGAAAATTTGGCAAAGACTGGTAGTTGGTAACCCGGGCTTCTCCTGCCCACAGCCCCAAGCTGAAACCAGGCGAGCAGTGGGCTCACACCTATGAGGAACATCGAGGTCCCAACTTGACTTGAAGATTATGGCTTTGAGATTGCACCAGAAGAAACACTGAGCACATCAAATACTGTGTGCCAAGGGCTGCCAGAGATGAAGTCAGGAAGGGCCCTTCTGCCTCTCCACCCCACATGGGTCAGCATCACACAATACAGTAGATACCAGGCATCCAGCAGCACCTCAGACATGCCATTCAGGGAGAGAATGCCAGGTGGCTGGAGCAGACCCTTGGGTCTGCTCCCCGAGGCTGTGATCTTGAAA